GTGGACTTTGAAATCATTAGAAATGGCCTTATAACCTTTCCCACACTGACATCATGGCAGCAACAGTTGCTGTTCTAAGATCTTTGATGATGATTTTAAACTTCTAACTTTTCAAAAGTGCTCACACTTGCTGATGGTCAGTTAATCAAGTGCATTTGATTAGCAGCACCTGGCTGCTGCTTACCTTCTTAATTAACTAATTAAGTCTCTCTCAGACTGCGGGCTCTTTACTTTTAATCCAAATTTTCCTTTTTGATAAAGTATACCGTCAGGGCTGGATCGGGTGTCCCCTTTCACTCACCATGTGTTCATGCACCGTTCTGCATTTAATCATTAGTTACTAATAATAACTGACTCTTCCTCCCCCTCACGCCAACCAATCATCTTGTCATGCGTTGCTGCTCACCTGTGGTTGTATTTACTTAATATTTATTAAGATTTAAGGTTTATTAATTAATAATTGTAAGCTGTACTGTGACACAAAAGATAAATATCAGCCAGTGACATCGGTAAATGCAATCTTATTTGCCAGTATCACTGAACAGGGTATTCTGATACTGAGCTGATATATCAGTACATCCCTGGTGTTTCTACCTGGAACAGCAATCAATTGAAATCTCTCTCTCTTCTACTCTAAAAAGTAGAATTTAAATAAATCCCATCCTGTTGTGGATTAATTAACTTTACCAGCTTTGGCTTGTTATGTGCCTGCATAACAAGCACTGAATCTCACAGCTAATCATGACCTACTTAGAGCTCAGCATAGAGCGGCAAGCAAGCAGCAGGCTGCGCGCTGAAGCCACTCCTCCCACACACTCAGACACACAAACAAGAGGCACAGCCACGCACAACGACAACAACAACAAACGTCCATCACACGTAGCATTGTCACAAACCACTACAATGTAGCTGTGCAATAAATTTAAGCAAACAATGTTATTTCAGCTCATTTTTCTCAATAAATCAATCGCATAATCTGCTCCACATTCAACTGATGGCTTCAGTAAAGGACAGTGAACAATATCCAGCCTGTTAGTGTGAAATTATTGCTTTCCTCTTCCTGAAGTAACTGCCTGTACCCATGCAACATGCAGAGACGTGTACTTTTTCCCCATTAAAAAACAAAAGAAGTAAAAAAAACCAACACACTCACCAAACTGTGCACTGACAGAAGGAGGAACTACATCAGCGTGCATGCAGTAAATCAACAGCTAGCCATTTAGATACTCACTGAGGTCTCTGCACTTGATGGTGCTGTAGTTGAAGGAGATACAGAGGTAGTCACATGCCTCCCTCAGCTCGGGAATGGAAACGCCGTCAGGGCAGCGGATTATCCCCGACTTGTAGTAATCCTGCCATTTTCAGCGGCGCGATCGCACGCATAAACGGACGGAGCGGTGGATGTTCATGCACGCACATGAGCAAGGGAGAAAAAACAAGGCGCCATTATTAATGCTGCTGCTGCTGAGAGAGAGAGAGCAAAAGAGAGGATGAGGAGTGGGGGGAGGGATGGAGAGTGAGCGAGCGAG